GGGGCGGTTCGGATCGGGATGTCGTAGAGCTCACCCCCGTATCTCTTCCTGGGCGTGGGGTGGCACTGCTCCCAGGAGTCGAAGAGCCAGAATGGGTGACCGTCGGCTCAAAAGGGGGGAGGGGAAAGTCTCCCTCCTCTCCCTTTCGGATCTCGCTCAGAATCTCTTTGGCAGGAACTCCTGCCTCGATCATCTTCGCGATTTCTACGCGGGCCGCCCACGCGCCGATGGCCATCAGACCAGAGGTCCTACCCAGCTTCGCGCTGCCGGGCCGAGGCGACAACGCTGCCTCCGACCTCTTCATCTGATGGCCACGTCCTCTCTCCCACCCATCCATTCTCCCCCCGCTGTAAACAACGAGGAGGATGGCTGGTGGGCTTCAAGCCAAAATGGCCACATTTTGGTTGTGCTAGACGAACATTCACGATAGTACCCAAGGGCACAACTGGTGTTTCTAGGACGTTCAAAGAGCAGAACGCCCGAATGCAGCCGTCAGTCACGTGTCTCACCTGTCTTTCCAGTTGACACTCGCGTGCCGTTGCGAGAGAGCCAAGTCATGGTTCCCGCTAGGCGCTAGTGGAATGTATTCAGTAAACTCCTAGGCTCCTAGGCTTCCAACAACCATTAATTTGATAGGCTTTACCGAATCAACTAAGGATTCTACACTACAAAAAAACAGGTCAACCATGTTTAAAAGCAGTACCTTCTTTCCACATGCTCCTTCCGCACACATGTCCTTCCTCCAGTATGGGACAGAAACCAGAGCGACCCCCCATGTTACACGGACCATCACGGACCTCTGTACGGCGTACGGACCCATTCTGCTAATCGGATTCGCCCAGCCTTCACCCTCTGTGGACTCGAGATCCCCCCGGACTGAGTAGACCCTGACTGAGTATGTCCTGGTCTCTTCCTGCACCGAAACCAGGGGCTCGGCACACCTGGAAGGTCTCACCCCAAAAACCGATGGCGCTTCTTCAACTCCAGTCAACCTGCTACCGATCTCATGATATCTCAGCCTGGCTGTGGGTTATGGCACCGGGAGCCCCGGAGCTCGACTTTTGTCCCAAAAATGAACCGAATGGACTACGAGTCGGAGGTCCACCGCGTCCCTGATCCTATGTTCCACTGTCCCTGTCACGAGCCACGGCAAGGAATGAATTCTTCACCCCCCCGGCGCAAGATCTCGAAGAGGCTCGAAGGCTACGGTGGAATCGTGGGGACGGACAAGCGGCTTTCGCTGGGTTTCTGTTGTGGTTTGGAGGATCGATCGGAACAAAAGTGGAACTAGCAGCTAAAGAAGGTCTCTTGTCTTTCAACTGTTGAGGTGACAGGCATGCTAAAACCCTGAGGGATCTTTCTGCGAAAACTCAACAAGAAAAATGACTACCTCAGCCTCATTCACTGCAAACAATTGACCCCCCACTTAGACCCCAACACACATGAAAGCCAAAATAGACTACTCGCATTCCTCGATCCTTTCTTCTAGTGCGCCCCAGAGATTCTCTGCCGAGGGGCATGTAGTTGGAGGGGATCGGGAGCCTGCACAAAGAGACAGAGCCACGGGTCCAAACGAAGGCCGTCGAAGGGTGGTGGTATCCGATATCAATCTCAGCCAAGGTTGGTCGTAGTGCTTGACGCGCCGCCAAGATAGTCGATTTGTCTGTTCCATCACTACATAGTCTGGAACAAACAAAGGTGGCTTAGTGAAACATGTTTCAAAAGAGGCTTTTGGATGTACACTCCTCCAAACTTGCCCCAGTCGTCCCTCCTTTGTCGTGGTGTCGTTCGTCCGGCCGACAGCCTGACGAAGCGGGTGAGCATGTGGGTGGTCGCTGCATTCGCACGGAGGCAGGCGTGCATGGCCAGCCACATGGTGAGCCCCAGCCAGATGTAGGCACCTCCAAAAAGGAGAACAGGCGCTCGGCGTCAAGCAATCTACAGTAGAACAATGTAGGCACCTTTTGGGAAGAGAATGGGCGGAAGAAGCAAAAGTTGTTGCGGAGTCATGGAGTTAAATGCAATTTTGGCGCTTCACACACGGGTGAACATGATTTTCGACCTGCTTCTACAAGTGGGTGGGTGTGTCGGAATTGGATGAAGCTCCCCATTCAAATCGATTCACCGCCCCCTGGACGACCAAAGCTCCACAGACCTTTCAATCCCTTAGCCACCCGGGCTGCCGCGAGCTGCCGCCCCGGCTGAAACCGGCTATTCAGCTTCTACGCACCCACCCCCCGGTGGAGGCCTCCCACGTTCACCATCATCAGGCCCATCAGCCAACTCGGTGGAGGTGGCCTTGGATTTGTACACGAACCGAAAAAAGGAATAAGAAATTATCTCGAAAGAAATTCTTCAGAACATGGATTTAACATGATTTAACCATAGGGGAAATCCGCCGACCCCGATCTAGGCCGATGAACGCGAAGGGTGAGCGGAGCGGGTCGATGAACGTGAAGCCCCCCCCAAATAAAAAGGTCACCTGATGTCCCAAAAGACAGGTGGCGTGTGCAAGCCCACGCGTCCGGGGCAGAAGATTGCCGTCAGGATCGTCGCGGTCATCCCGGCGATGTCCTCGGGATGAACGGAGACCGGTGTCGGCAGGCGGGATGAATTCGCAGTCGGGTCGGTGGGGTGTGAAGTCCGTGGGCCGAAGTGGGCGAAAGGCCTTTCGGCCTTTCGAAGTCGGTGGGTCTGAAAGGTGGAGAGACAGATCCAAGATCAAAATCTTCATGGATAGTGGCATGGATCTGTAGTGACAGGAGTCCAAAGGGATTGTACCTCGTAAATCTCTGGAAGCCTCTCTGAAGATAGCATCTGTGCAGATCCATAGACGACCGAATATTCCGCGTGGAAGCTATCTTTGGCAATTTCACCCCAACGAATCCGTAGAAAACTCCAAACAAGAACCGCAATTGCTAGTCCCAGAATGCTAGAAATGGTAGAAATTGCCATCATCCACTATATAGTCCCAGACCGAAACCATTTCTACTGCCTGTTCTACTGCGACGCTTTCCGCCTCATGGTGCGTGACCACCAAGCTGCAGCATAAACGTGCATGCGGTTGGTGGTCAGGGTCGTGAGGTCAACCAAGTCTTCCTGTCGTCCGTGCGCACGGATGAGTGAAACCCCTTTTTCCGGTGCATACCTGGTGGCTGTACAGCACTTCTTGGTCAGGGTTGAAATGAAAACATGAATGACAGGTCTCTACGCCATGAAGATCTACTAGGAGCGCTACGAACCACTTCCAAACCAAGTCTTCCGAATGGTCCTATGGTTGGTGGACTGAGCGGCCAACTCATGGTGCAATGGCTATAAAGCACCTTCCGCAAACCATTTGAGGGCAACGCATGTCTAGAAACCAGGATGCACACGAGCCTGAGCTCTGGGTTCAGAAATTGACTAACATGGAACTCATCCTAAAAAATGGTCTTGGATTTGCATTGGCTGGGTCTCTCAGCAAAGTGTATCGGTAGCAGGATATGTCAGTGGATCATGCTTACTCTGCAAACTCACCCACAGTTGAACAAAGTCTGTGCACAAACTTGCGGCTGTGAGGCCTTGGGTCACTTTGACTTGGTCTCAACGTGGAAAAACATGTGACTTCATTGCCTTGAACAAACATGTCAACACTCGCAGAAGGTTCGGTTGAGAACATGATGGCAAGTATATTCAACCAGGAAATTCCAAACCCGAGTTCAAGACATCTTGCTTCCCTGTTAGTACCAAATACTGTTCCACTTTTCTGACTGGTGCCTTCGTAAGGGAATGAGCCTATAGGTGTCGCCGATGGTAGCGATTCCTTACCCCATCGAGTCGAACTCGTCGCACCAGGGAGTTCGTCCACGGGAGCACCGATGGTAGCGAGAGGCCATCGCGATGGCCTCCAACCGACACGAGCGATAGTACTAACCCAAGATAGTACCAAGGTAGTAACCAACCGAGACCAGCGATGGCCCCTGCTACTCTTCTCACCTTGTACTGGTCCGTCTGCGCGGAGGCCATGGCGAAGCCGGCATTGAAGCGCGACCAGTGCAGCCTTGGTCGCACCGTTCGATCGGGCAGGCGCCGGATGTGTCGGGCTGGTGGGTGAGGTGAGGGTGAGGTGGTCGCGGTGCCTTGGGGCTGAGGTGGTCGCGGTGCCTTGTTTCAGGAAGACTGGTTGCCTCAAGAGGAACAGTCGTGCTTCTTCTTGCCAATAGAGCAGCCTTGCAGCCTTGCGTGTCTGAAATGGATGGTGGCCTTGCGGCCTTGTGTTGTGATCGGCCTGTTTTGCGAATAGAAACGACCAGTAGCATTGGTCGCAAAGAAAACGATCCGTCCAACGGTAGATGTTTCGGGTCTTCAAGTGGATCGAGAACTATGGAGCGAGCAAACCGGTCTTCACCTGTAGCGCAAAACGGTCCGGCTTTTGGACATGCTCCAGCATTCTGCATTCAGCTCTGCATTCGACACTGAGCTTGTTCACGAGCACGCTGCAAGACGCTGAGATTGCAAGACGAGCACGCTTCGTCACATCAAATGAAAATTGATTATGCATTCGATCTTCTTTCCAACAACAGTGGTGATTCCAATAAAAGGTACCAGTTCAACCAACAACAGAGTAAACATCTACGGATGTGGCTCCGGCCGATTTCCAGTGTCTAGATGAGGCCCATTGGTTCACCTGTAGACAGGGGCAGCCAGCCAGCCAGCTATTGACTTTTGGAAGCACGAGGCCAAGCCCACCCATTTGCCGCTGCGAGATAGATAATTATGTCCAAAACGATTGCTCCCAAGAAAACTCAGTGGCGCACTGTTTCCTATCCTCAAAACTAAAAGAATAAAAAAACAAGTTCTGAGTGATTGTCCCTCTTCACGGTCCCCATCAATGCCATGGGCAATTTTCTTTCCGATGAACAAATGTCACTAATATTGAAATCCCACGATGATTGCGGCCGTACTTGCAAGCCAAATGATCCAAATGTCATGTCCAAGTTGTGACGTCTTCTAATAAGGTACTATGAAACTGTGGAGAAAAAAAAACATCTTGATGCATCAACATCAATGGTCTAAGCCCCAAACCAAACCGCCTGGAAACTTTACATGTCCATTTTCTGAAAGCCTCCTCCACCAACCCCGCTTCCCATGCCACCAACCCCCCCCCACACACGCCTCCCGGCACAACCCAGCTGAGTCAGCTCCACTCCACATGCACCCTCTGCACCCAGCTGAGTGGCTTTTGGTCCATCATGTAGTTGCCACGGTTGTACCCAAACAGCCCCACCCCAACGCCGCCGGCCGCTGCGGCGCCGGCGGCGGCATAGCCGGCCGCTCCCAACTCCATGTCCTCGGGACGTTGGTGCCAAGAAAAATCACTGGGAGACGGCGGCATAGCCGGCCTACTATCTGGCAAATCTAAATCTAGGATCCAAAAACTAGACGACGAATGGCGCGGGAGCGTTTGGACACATTGCATATACAGTAAGTTCGGTTGTTGTTTTGTATTTTTGTATCAACGTGTGTCTGTAATCTTTCTACTTGTCGCCTCGTTGACACTCTTGTAAGACACATTTGTGTGACACCCTTGTGGGACACTCTTGTAAGAAACACTTGTAGGACACTCTTGCGTGACACTCTCTGTAAAAGACTCTTGCATGCTGTTTGTAAGACATTTTGTGAGTATCCGACACGCACGACTCCCGCAGATGGTTCTTCGAGCAAATCGGGAATTCGCATGTCGCCTCATGTTTGAGCATCCGACACGCATGTGTGGCCAAGCATAAATAGTCATAAAGAGCCTGGATGTGGCGAACGCGCGCGCACGCGCGAACTCAATTATATATGTTATCGTGGACGTGAACATAATGTAAGTTAGCAGAAGTGTTTGGTGAAGCAAGACCGGAGCAGTCTAGATACAATCTGTTTGCACATCTACATTGGCAACTGCAGGAATGAGCCCCTAGTAGCGTCTTTGCTCCTAGTAGCTTCTTGCTCCTAGTAGTAGGGCCAGGAGCCCCTAGTAGCTTCTTGTTACTAGTAGCGATGCCAGGAGCCCCTAGTAGCGTTTAGAACAGTGTAGCAGCAGCAACCTCTGAAGCAGCTCTTCAGACTTGAGAGCTGACCTGCGAGCAGACCTGCGAGCAGACCTGTGGCAGGGGCCTACTTTCTTTCCTGCAGATGTACAAGTCTCAAATGGCGAGCACGGGCGCACATCTAGAACAGCAACTGTAATACCAGCAGCAACCCAAAAAAATGCAAAGTTTGCTCCTTGCAGCAGCCTAGAAGTGGCAAGTGCACTAATGGCAACCCCTTCTATGGAAGAACCCGATCGCAACGCTCCCAGCAACTCCTGCAACTCCGAAAGGAGTTCCGAACACCATCTAAACATGACTCACGCCCTCTGCTCGCATCGTGGAAGCACTGTTTTGGGGCCCATCCTCTTCAGTCTTCCGCCAAGTGTGGTATTCTCTGCTTGTTCTTCATGTAGCATGCTCGGGCACCGGTAGCACATTTTATGTAATCAACACACAGCTTTCCCGTAAGGAGATCAAGAGGTGACGTGGCTGCTTCTCACAAAATTTAGTTTCCCAACTCACGACCCATTCAGGTGACGCAAGGACATGTCTCTGGGCTGAAAGGACGATCAACTGAAGGACTTAAAACAAAAAGATTCGCTTTAGACTGCAGGAGGTGGTGAACCCCAACACCTCTCAGAACTCCAAGTGGCTCTTGTGAGTCAACTCTCAGTTGATGGGTCTCTGCGACCGTTGGACCAAGGTCCAGAGTGTCTGTGCTTGAGAGCAGAGACTACGGACGGATGGTCGCGAGTCCCAATGAAGTGTGTCCATGGATCTAGTGCCGATCCCAGATTCATCCCAGAAAAATGCGTTGTGGAAGCACCATCAACCCCAATCAAGCAACCGCGCGATCTGTTTGGACAACCCTTTGGCAACTGGATCTATTTGGGTTTTTATGAAACCCATCCACCCCAAAAAATGCATCAGTCAAGTCCTTTTTAGGTTAGGGCCCATTCGACCGCAAGGGTTTAGTTTGGGGTCGTCTCTCTTTTGACCCCACCTGTTATTGAACCTGTGTGTGTGTGCGCGAGTGAAAACCTTGGAGTCACAGGGATTCCTTTAAGTGTGTTGTTTTTGCTTTCCTTTCCACGTTAAAGCAGGGGGACTGAGCACTCCTTGGCAAACTCAGTGCAACGAAGCTATGCCTTGGAGCGGGAAGCACGGATTGATCACCCGTGTGCATCTGCAGCTTTAGCGGAGAAATTCCTACTTGGTCCCGTTCTTAACTAGAACAACCCTCCAGCCATTGCAGCGGTTCACCATTGACAGTCAACTGCTCGCCGGTCGATTTTTTGCCTATTTTTTCGCGCTCGTGACTTTGGATGTGAAGACTCTCTCAGGTTTTGGTCAAACTGTCTTGCATACCTGTAACCTGACCCCTTAGGCATTCATACGTGGGGCATATGGCATTCAGTTCAGTATGCATTTCCTGTGTGTCTCTCCTTAGTGAGAGCCCAGGGTGTACCCGAGGAGTGTCCCCTGTGGCCCCGTCGACCAGGGGTATGTCCATGTTCTCCGGCTTGAGAACGTAGGTGTCCGTAGCGGACACCAGGAGGCTTATGCCAAAGTTGTTTGCCAAGACTTGATGGTTTATTGAATACAAGTAGGCAGCCTTCGGACACGCCATGAGGTGACCATGGCGGTCCAAGCAGCCAGCCATTTTGGCATGGCGTACGTGGCCACAGCGGCCGTAGTTGTCTCAAGACTCATTGGGGTCTGTCACAACCTTAGGTGCACACACAGCACGCACTTTTCAAACAAGGCAGGTCTTCCTAGGTTTTTTAACGTCAGGTTTGGCTTCATCGGTTTCCGGCCCCTCCATTTGGGTTCCTTTTTCATTCTTTCCCCTCCACAAACATCTTCTTTCCTTTTTCTTTTCATGTCCTTCTGCCTTACATTTCTTTCTTTCATTTGCGCACACAACGGCCCGGCCTTTAGTACATTCGAGCACAACCTACCTTCAACCCAGGTTTCAGGTCGCCCAGGTGACAATGAGGTTGGGTTCATTGGTTGTCCCTGTGCACTTGTTTTCCCCTTCATCGCAGCCACACACACTTTTGTCGCGTCTCGTCCTCCTTCTCATGTCTTCACCTTTTTGTCCATGCTGCGCGCACATATGCACATTAGTTAGACTAATTTTGCCTCCCTAATCGGGAGGCGTGTGTGTGAAACCCTTGGAGTCACAGGGATTCCTTTGAATGTGTTCTCTTTGCTTTCTTTTCCACGCTAAAGCAGGGGGACTGAGCACTCCTTGGCAAACTCAGTGCAACGAAGCTATGCCTTGGAGTGGGAAGCACGGATTGATCACCCGTATGCACCTGCATTTTTACCGGAGAAATTCCTACTTGGTCCCGTTCTTAACTAGAACAATCCTCCAGCCATTGCAACGGTTCACTATTCGCAGTCAAGCACTCGCCGGCCGATTTCTTGCCGATTCTTTTGTGTTCGTGACTTTGGATGTGAAGACTCTCTCAGGTTTATGGTCAATCTGTCCTACATACCTTGAACCTGACCTCTTAGGCATCCATACCTAGGTGGGCGTGTGGCATGTGGCATTCAGTTCAGCACGCATTTCCTAAGTGTGTGCGCACTGCGCGAAATTCGGAGCAGCCAATCTGCAGCAGGCCTGCTGGTCATTAACAACGACTCTCTGCTGCACCGCCTGCCAAGCAGGTCAGAGGTCAAACGATCCACGTCCTGGAGTAGAGCGCATATTAAAGAATATGTGTGTCTATATAAATAATTACAGTATGTTATAGCATGTTGTACTTCATTGTGAAATTGGGTCATTTTCTGTTATCTTGCCTTGCATTGTACTATATTGTAAAGTAGTATACAATGGAAAGTGGTCACACTCATCTTGTGTTCTAGGTACAGCAAAGATATTGCAGTACGTAGCTGAAAGTACCAGACCGACTCAGACATGGTGACAGCATCACGGCCCAAAACAACGTTCCTTTCCGGAATCTGTCGGCTGTCGCTTTGAGCTCAACCTCCCCATCCCACCCAAAACACGGCTGCCCCACGGCCTGCAGCAGTTGCTGGTGAAAATCTTTTACCACCTCACAGGTCCCGTGCAAAACGTCGCCGATGCGTTGTTGGAGCCCAATGGGTTTCGGCTCCATCGGTTTGTCGATGTGAGGTGTGACTTCAAGCCCCAAATCGTCTGCGCAGGTGCGCGTGCACACGCCCATATGCAAAGAGTCTTGAGACAAGCTGCTACAACAGCCTGGGTGCAGGAAGAAAGCAATCAATTAAACTGGAAAGGCTAGAAGAACTAGCTATCCCAAGAGAAAACAACTATAATAACCACGCAAGCTACAATGAAAAGCAACATCACCCTCACCCCCACCGTAACCAACAACAACCCCGACCTCTCACATCCTGACCCAAAGACTGCCCCCCACATCCAATCCATTGCCTCAGCTTCCTCTTCCCCAGGCATTCTCCAGGGTTTGAGCCTCACACATTGAGCACTACCGGTGCTGGAATAAGTCTCTGTATACTAGTCCTAGATTAAACGCCGCAGTCCACGACCACTTCATGTCTTTGCTGTGTGGCACCAGCATGGCAGTTGCCTGCCGCCGCATTCTCGTCGCACAACTGTGGTCCGCGTTTTTGGGCGTGTGGGTGTACACCGTGTTCATGTCTCAGACTATGAGATGAAACACGTCTGCTACAAGAAACTAAGACAAACTAGACGACGAGTGGCCCGAAAGCATTTTTCATCACGTAGGAAGTCAGAGTGTGAGTTATCTGTTAAGTGATCAGTGTGAAGTGTTAAGTCGAGTGAGTTGAGGCAGTGTGTGGGTCTCTGTGTGTGTATCTGTGTCTGTGTGTGTATGAGTCTCTGTCTGTGTGTGTCTCCGAGTAAGTTGAGGCAGTGCGTGGGTCTCTGTGTGTGTGTCAACCTCTCAAGAGAGCCGGGTGGTCGGGAGACATGACTCAGCTGCAGGGGCGCCAGAGCAGCTACGAGAGATGACTCAGCCGCGAGAGATGACTCATCCGCGTGCTAAAGTTGTACTGCAAAGTCGCCAGTTCTCAGCTTCCAGCTCCACAGATTGCTCCGCGTACTCAAGTTGTACTACAAAGTCGCCAGTTCTCATCTTCCAGCTCCCCAGATACTCCGTTGCACTACAAAGTCGCCAGTTCTCATCTTCCAGCTCCCCAGATACTCCGCGTACTCAAGTTGTACTACAAAGTCGCCAGTTCTCATCTTCCAGCTCTCCAGATACTCCGCGTACTAAAGTTGTACTACAAAGTCGCCAGTTCTCATCTTCCAGCTCCACAGATTGCTCCACGTACTACAGTTGTACTACAAAGTCGCCAGTTCTCATCTTCCAGCTCCCCAGATACTCCGCGTACTAAAGTTGTACTACAACTTCGCCAGTTCTCATCTTCCAGCTCCCCAGATACTCCGCGTACTAAAGTTGTACTACAAAGTCGCCAGTTCCCAGCTTCCAGCTCCACAGATTGCTCCGCGTACTAAAGTTGTACTAGAAAGTTGCCAGTTCTCATCTTCCAGCTCCCCAGAGACTCCGCGTGCTCAAGTTGTACTACAAAGTCGCCAGTTCCCAGCTTCCAGCTCCACAGATTGCTCCGCGTACTAAAGTTGTACTACAAAGTCGCCAGTTCTCATCTTCCAGCTCCCCAGATACTCCGCGTACTAAAGTTGTACTACAAAGTCGCCAGTTCTCATCTTCCAGCTCCGCAGACTCCGCGTACTAAAGTTGTACTACAATGTCGCCAGTTCTCAGCTTCCAGCTCCACAGATTGCTCCGCGTACTAAAGTTGTGCTACAAAGTCGCCAGTTCTCATCTTCCAGCTTCCCAGATACTCCGCGTACTAAAGTTGTACTACAAAGTCGCCAGTTCTCATCTTCCAGCTCCCGAGATACTCCGCGTACTAAAGTTGTACTACAAAGTCGCCAGTTCTCATCTTCCAGCTCCCCAGAGACTCCGCGTGCTCAAGTTGTACTACAAAGTTGCCAGTGCCTGCATTTCGCGCCCTCGACACGCACGATCTCCGCAGAGGGTTGCGCGCGGACCGGACAAATCGCACTCTCGCCTGCATTTCGCGCACTCGACACGCACGATCTCCGCAGAGGGTCGCGCGGGCAGCCGCCAAATCGCACTCTCGCCTGCATTTCGCGCACTCGACACGCACGATCTCCGCAGAGGGTTGCGCGCGGACCGGACAAATCGCACTCTCGCCTGCATTTCGCGCACTCGACACGCACGATCTCCGCAGAGGGTTGCGCGCGGACCTGACACATCGCACTCTCGCCTGCATTTCGCGCACTCGACACGCACGATCTCCGCAGAGGGTTGCACTTTCGGTTGACGCTGTTCGTCCCACCCTCCGCCTTTAAGAGAGAATTTATAAAGTGGGGAAATTTTTTTTCATTAGGACATCTCCCGCGCTAGTTCACTTGCCTACTCATTGCATGCTTGCATACTCATCACTTGCATACTTACACTTGCATACTTCCACTTGCATACTTTGACAGCTTTCGCTCTTCCACTTACACAGGGCTACGTATAGCGTTCATGTTATCCTGCAAGTGTGGTGAAAGTGTCAATGTCTAGGTGTGTCTAAGTGTAAGTGTCGAAGTGTCAGTGTTCAAAGGATTTTCCGGAAGAACCCTTCGCAATGCTTTCGGGAAAAAGCAACTGTCAATTTTTTGAATCAGAAACACAAGCTGGGTGGCGACTTCAAGGCATGCTATTTCG